TTTTACATTGTCAACTCCCACTCACTCATTTCATCAACTCTTTACAATCTAATTTCTATCTGCTGTACTCTATTAAGATTCATGCCTTAAAGGCACAGTATAAACTTTTAATTGCTACATGTACAGTGGTTGCTAATCCATCACCTTAGTACTGGTTATTTTATTAATAAAATGTTTTTTTCTTAGCTTCAATGACACCTTTTCTTTTTCTGGTTTAGCTTCTGTGTCACATATGTGCCTCCATTAGTTTTTAAATTACCTTTTAATTAGCTAAACTAGATTATATTTAAATACCCTTGTAGACTTTATGATTTTCCATTGACCTCACTTCTCAAAATTCTCGTTCTTCTCCCTCTGTGCTTTAGACTGACCACTCTTCTATCATTTGCTTCCTCATGGCCTTTGCATAAAGCATCCTCTCCAATGAGTGAGTCCTTTTTACTTTCCTACTGGCTAAATTCTGCTGTCCAAGACAGATCTAATATATCCCTTGGCTTGACTAAACTTCTCTCAGGCTTTTTCCTGCCTCCTGCCCCTGACTTCCTGCTCACATAGATCCTGACAGGGTCCAGATGGTTTAATTAAAAAGATACCTTATCTTCTTTTCTTCTAAATTTAATGTTCTCAGGGCATATACATTAGAACACTTGCTTTTTTAACGTGCAAAATAATTTCTTTTTATTATGTATTTATTAGTGGATTATATGTAATAGTGAGGGAACTATCCACTTTAAGGGCCTGTGGGCCAACTTTTTGATAAGCAAACAAGGAAGACAGCATCCTTATCTTTGATCTCTTAATCTGTGTGAGAGCATAGGAGCCAGACTCTGTTGGGAGCCTTGTTTCAAGTTGTAAAACTCCTTGCTGTTACACAGATGCAAGAAATTGTACTTTCTCTTTGGGTAAGGACAATTAGAAAATCATAGATGGCTTATGATTCCCCCAGCCCAAGGATACTGAAATGGTTCCCGGAAGAACCTGGTTTCCAATAAAGGTCACCACCAGACTACAGTGACTCTATAGAAGGAAACTGAGTTGAGTAGCAGTTAAATGGAATAAGTACCCTGATCATACTCACTTCTTTTCCTCTAATCTGCCAATCGCCACCTGAAAGTCAGAGGTGAAGAGAGCCTACTGATATAAACCATATGGCTACCTAGTAAGGTGGAGACAGGTAGAAAATAGATCTAGAGAACCAGATAAAAGATGTACATCACAGTAAGCTAGTTGAGTCATTAGTCAATCTGACTCAACCTTCAAATAACATTTTATGTGACAGCAATTGTATTAGATTCTGGAGATATAAAAACATCATTGTATTATAATTTCATTATAACTGCTATTGCAGAAATATTTCTAAATACTGCAGAATTCTAGGAAACAAAGCACGCAAACAAACACAAAAAAAGTAAGTAGTGAAAACTTAACTGCTTGGGCTGGGGATGTGGCTCAAGTGATAGTGTGCTCACCTGGCATGCACGGGGCACTGGGTTCCATCCTCAACACCACATAAAAATGAAATAAAGATGTTGTGTCCACCTAAAAAAAAAATTTAAAAAAAATATTTAAAAAAAACTTAACTGCCATTTGAGTTAGGGCATAGAGAGAAGTACATTGCCAAAAAAGAAGTAGAAGCAAGGCTTACTAGGTATGAGTGGCTCTATGTATCTGAACTATGCTGATCCATAAAAGAAATAAAGAATGGCAAACATGTTGGTAAAATAATAGATAGAAGGAACGTCACCATGGAGACCATAAAATAAAAGTGATGACAGTGTGCAACTCAAGTGTCCTGAGTGTGGAACTCTAACAAAAATAAAAACTGAAACTTGACCTTTGAGTTTTGATTGGGAGAAGAGTATTATTGATCTTCACAAGAGTTTCAGGAAGAACATTAGAGAAGATTGAGCTTTTATTCAAAGCTAAAGAAATCGAAACAGTTATTACATTTTTTTCCCCAAAAAGACAAGTGATAAAAAGGAAGCATTACCTTGAGTTGAAGTACAACGATTTTCTTTTTTTTTTTTCCCCATTCTCTTTTTGCTGGAGGAGGAGATTTTAGTGGTGGATTCTATTTTCACTGTCCTCCAAACCTTGCTTTTCTTTTCAAAGGAAAGGAAAAGATTAAACAACATATGAAATATTCTAACCTGATATCAATGTTGACCCATGTCTATAAATCCTAAATATGTGTCTGTTTCCCAGAAGCTTAAGATAAATATTGTTTGTATCATATCATTTAAACCTATTTTTTTCATTTTTTTGTTTTTAAGTCAAAAACCTTCAATGAAATTCTCAACTTCAATCTGTTCTTTATAATCCTTTTCTATTTTTTGAAATAATTTTAGTAACATTTTCAGAGTACTTACAAGTTATTAAATATGAGTTATAATAATAAATACTATGAGAAGATATCTTATACTTCAAAATTTAAAAATATTTTTTGGAAGTAACTGATTTATAACTGATTTATTCATAATAGCTGTCAGAGAAAATAAACAAACATCAAATGAGAGGGAAAACAATATTAGTCTATAAGCTAAAGTTAAATCTAGATGGAAAAACAGTTTCAATATAAGGAGAAATCAACCAATTAAAACCTAGTTAGAGCCAGACCTAGCAGTGCATGCCTATAATCCCAGGAACTCAGGAGGCTAAGGCAGGAGGATCTCAAGTTCAAAGTCAGCCTTAGTAACTTAGCAAGGCACTAAGCAACTCAATAAGACCCTGTCTCTAAATAAAATACAAAAAGTAGGGCTGGGGATGTGACTCAGTGGTCAAGTGCCCTTGAGTTCAATCCCTAGTACTACTGCCACCAAGAAAACCTAGTTAGATTATACTGAGAATACAACTTTTATTAATATATTTTATTATCTTGTCATTAAAGGTAGATTGAAAATAATTATAAATAATTAAATCTGTAACATACATACTTTTATATATATAATTATTTTCATTTATATTTAGTGATAAATTATACCTAATATGCATATATAAATTTTATATATACTTATTTTAATCTACCCCCATTCCCTCATATTTTGAGATTTCAGTGCCATTAAGACATTTTCTAACTGTGGTAACCATAAATATTAACAAAAGCTTACCATGAGTTTGTAATTTTGAATAGAGTTTGATTTGTTTAAAATCACTCAGCTAGCAAGCAAATAATATAGGCTTTTCCCTGTGGGTAGTCTATAGTTACTAGAGTACAGTATTTCACATTGTAGTACAATTGCATAACTTCCTCTATTATATACTCTAAGCTCCCTAAGGCACAGAAGTGTTTTATTCATCTCTGCATTTATTTTATTAGCACAGTGACTAACATTGAATGAAAAAATTGGAATCTAGCTGCACAAAATATACAAAGAAGGCACCATGATGTACTTAGTAGCATTTGTACTAAATTATACTTGGAAATTCTTAGAATCTAATGAGTAGGTTCAAGAAGATTCTGACTTGATGAGCAACTACTAAGGAAATAGTCAAGTGTATGTGTGAACCACAGTGCCTTACCTTAAGATTGGTAGATTTGTTTTCAAACTCTAGGAAGGTACTAGTCAGAACCTGAAAACCAAGATCCAAGGCTCTGGAAAAACTTCTCAGTGAGAGATGATAGATAGATAGATAGATAGATAGATAGATAGATAGATAGATAGATAGATAGATAGATGTATTACTGGCTAAAAGCAAATGTGGGGAATTCAAAGTTAGTTGAAATAATGTAAAAACAGTCAAGCAGTTTATAAATTGATAAGGTTCTATAGTTTATCATAAAATGCCAGTAAGCACAAATTCCAGGAAAATCTACATGGAAATTTTTGTAGGTATAATGTATAAGAACAGCCACATGGTAAGGTCCTGCCTGAGTATAAGAAAAACTAACCAGAGGCAGAGGATGAGAGGTGTTTATTTTCTCTTTCAAGGGACTAGATTATAGGAGGACGCTTATCTCTTGTATGTGAAATGCTAGCAAAAATATTACATTGTTAATCTATACTATAATAGCTTATAACATCATGAAATTAGATTTTTAAATTTTGTCTGTCAAAAAAAATAAACAAAGGTATATAACTGTGTTTATTTAAGTGAATACCTATTCATGTTCTTAATTTGAATTAAGCTTTTGATAGATATAAATATCTACAATCTCATAGCTGAGTTAAATTTACCTGTCCTGTTTTCCCCCTATTAACAGAATATTGGCATGCTCAAGAGTTAATACAAGTTTTCAGTACACAGTTTGATCTTAGGTTATAAATCTTGGAAAATATTTGTAATTGGCCTGTGAGTGATAAATAAAGTATATTTAGAGTTTTGGATTTTGAAATATTTTTAATCTTCCTTCAACATTAAGAAATAAGGAACAACATTTTAATAAGTTTTGAATCAGAACAAACTATCACAGAAAGAAATTAACTAAATTTAACTAAGAAATTGACTACCACACTGAAATTCCCAACCAATTACACCTGTATTTCTTTCCTGAATTTCTCACATGTGTAACCTGAGCAAAATGGGTTTTTTTAGAAGTGCAATTGCTAGGTCAAATGATAACTCATTATGTATAACTTTTTTTGAAAAATTGTCTGACTGTTTTTTGAAGTGGCTGTATCACTTTACATTTGTATCAGTAGTTTATGAGATTTCAATTTTCTCTACATATTAATAAGAATTTTTTATTATTTGTACATTTTTAGATACATTTAATAGGACTATATGAGGTGGTTCCTTGTGGTTTTGATTTGCATTGCCATGGTGACCAATGATGCTTAGCCTATTTCCACATGTTTATCGGTCATTTTTGTATGTTCTGTAGGGAAGCATGTTCATGGTGTCTACAGTGTTGATTTTGTTGATACCAGTTTTTCCAGGTTTTATTTTATTCATCCCTATATTGTGGTCAAAACTAAAAAAAAATATTGAAAGATTTACCACTATATTTCCTTCTGAAGGATTTATAGTTTTGGTTTTCATATGTTTTTTGTAAAATTCAGTCTCCTTAGAGACTTGCAAAAATTGCCAATGCCAACTATATTTCAAGTCGTCATGACTGGGTATTGGAAAAATTTTCGATTAGCAATAATTGTGCCTTGGATAAACCTCACCAGCTATGATACTGCCACTGTGCAAAACTGGTTCTCATAATTTTGTCTTTGATCCATTTTGAGTTTATTTTGTATGTATGAGGTAAGGGTCCAGTGAATATCCAGTTTTCTTTTTTTTGCATGTGTCTATCCAGTTTCATAACACCATTTATTGAAAATACCATTCTTTTCCCATTGAATAGATCTGCTACTCTTGTCTAAAATCAATTAATCAATGGGGGTAGTGGCACACACCTGTTATCCCAGTGGCTCAGGAGGCTGAGACAGGAGGATAGTGAGTTCAAAGCCAGCCTCATCAGTGGTGAGGTGCTAAGCAACTCAGTGAGATTCTGTCTCTAAAAAAAATACAAAATAGGTCTGGGGATGTGGCTCAGTGAACTCAGTGCCCTGAGTTCAATCCCTGGTACCCCTTTCCCCCCAATCAATTAATTATATATGTGTGTATATAATATATTACATTCCATTTAATATTGTTATATGTATTACACATATAATACATATTACATATATAACATATTATTTGTATATTATGTATGCACACTTACCCAATTAATACATATGGCATATTATTTTTATTTCTTAACTGCCAATTATACTTCATTGATCAAAATATCTATTCTTATTTCAACATCACACTGTTTTTTTATTATTGTAGTTTTATAGTAACTTTTGAACTTAGGAACTGTGAGTAATCCAACTTTGTTCTTCTTTCCAATTTTTTTACTATCCCATGTCTCTTGAGTTGCCACATGAATTGAGAACCCACTTAGAAATTTCTACAAAGAAGGAAGCAGGGATTCTGACAGGGATTGCATTACACTATAGACCAATGTGGGTAGAATTGCCGTTTTAATAATATTAGGTCTTCTACCCCTTGGGCATGAATATCTTTACATTTATCAAGAACACCTTTTCATTCTTTATCTCAGTGTTACCTGAGCTTCTTGAATATACATATTCATGTATTTCATCAAGTTGGGGAATTTTCAACATGTTTAAAATAGTTCTTAGATCCTTTTTTCATTCTTCTAAAGGAATCTCATTACACGTATATTAATTAGTATGATTTACGGCACCCCACATTTCTCTGAGTCTCTGTTCATTTTTCTTCTCTTTTCTCTATTCTTTTAACTGCATAATTTCCATCAATCTATGTTTTGAATGTTTTAATTTTTTTCCTGTAACTTTGAATCCACTGTTGATCCACTTAAGTGAATCATTTAAGTCATCAGGCTTTTCACCTCCAGAATTTCCACTTGGTCATTTCTGTGATCACTATCCCTTTTTTCACATTCTCTATTTGATGAGACGTCATCATACCTTCCTTCTACTACTCTATCAACATAATTTTCTTCACTTATTTGAACATATTTATAATGGGTATTTTGAAGTCATTACCTGTTAAACACAACATCTAGGCACCCTTACAGGCAATTTCTTTTGCCTGAATTTATTCTTGTATATTTTTCGTTGTTGTTCTTTGCGTGTCTCATAAATAGCTTTTTGGAAAGCTAAAAGTTTCAGACAATTATTATAATAAACCTTCCCTTCTTCTTGGGCAGCAAATTTTGGAAATTGACATAATTATTCCTTTAGTGACTGATGGATTATTTTAATGTAGTCTATATCTATATCCATACCCCATCGCTCACATTTGAAGCTTCTGATGTTGTTCCTAAAACATCAATGCCCTGTGCATCCCACAGACAGCCTGGGATAAAAATCACTTTAGTGAGTTTCTCTTTGACAATATCTTTCTCTGACCTTTAATTGCAAGGTAGTTATTCTATTTTTTTAACAACACCTTATAACATCAACTTTCTACAGATTAATCCAAAATTTCCAGAAATTGTTCCTCAGTTATTCCCACTGGCCCACAGATGGAAGCTAGTAGAAGGAAGCGTCCAACCTCTAAGACAATTAATTTTGCCATTAAAGCAGACAGCTCCAGATTAGGAAGCATGATTAGCTCCATCCTCTGCCCCTCTGAGGAAGATGTTATATTTTTCAAGTGGAGTTGGGAGCAGCTTCTTTTTAAAACAGAAATTGTAATACTAAGATTTATGAGATGGTTTAATTTTTCACAATATGAACTTATTAGAATAATTGAGGAGTCAGAGTTGGGGGAGCAGTTCAGTGGCAGAGTACTTACCTAGCATGCTTGAGGTCCTGGAGTCAATCCACAACACAGGAAAAAAAATGAAGAGTCGGTTTAATTGCTGAGAAATATTATAGGAAAGGTTGCATTTGCTGACCTTGCAAGTATGGACTGAAAATTTATTTAAATGCAGAAAAGAAAGTCGTTAACAAAACCAAAAGGTATGGGTTATTTAGAAGTTACAGGAGTAATTAAACATATAAAACCAAAAATTCAAATAATAATAAAATCTAAAGGGCTGGGGATGTGGCTCAAGCGGTAGCGTGCTCGCCTGGCATGTGTGCAGCCTGGGTTCGATCCTCAGCACCACATACAAAGATGTTGTGTCCACCGATAACTAAAAAATAAATATTAAAAAAAGCTAAGTAGTGAATTATAATCACTTATTGCATAGAGAATTACTGGTGATTTTTAAACATCTGGGATAATGTCACTAGACAGGTGACAGGGTCAAGGAAATCTAGATGGTACAATGGGGCCAAACAAATTAATATCAAGCAATGGAGAAATTTAAGCAGCAGATATGGCTAATGAAAATGAATTCAGGAATGAGCTTGGATATTAGAAGAATATAAAAAGGGTCACAATAGTTGGGCCATCTGAGTTAGGAGGAAAATGATAAAATTTTAAGGTCTTTTTATCATTATATTTTCCAGTCAGATCAATATCACATAATTCATGTAGGAGAAGATTCTGTGACAGGTCTTGGGATTTGTTTGTACTTCTGTATGTCCTGATAAAAGGCGAAGCAGTGACTTGGAAGGAATAGTGGTAGGATGGGAAATCATGGGTTTTGGTACCAAAACACATGAGCTTTAGTTTGTGTTGTTCTAGTACCAATTTATCCTTACTATGTGGAAACTATATATAAAAATATATATATTGGGGGGAGATAAAAGACAGGAAAGACACAGATACAGAATGAGAGGAGTCTTCATAGCCTGTGGTATATTACTATCATTTATTAAAATAGCAAGAAAGAAGTATGTTTGTTCCCCAAGTGGTCTCCTATAAAATCTATGACAAATTTCTTGTGTGACTTTACTTCTATTTCTGCCTCCTGGAATCCCAAAACACCCTATCAATACTATCATTACTCATTTTACAAGTGGAAAGAGTGAGACAGCAACATAGCTATTGCAACACTGGTTATACAATGCAATGGTCATATAATCAAAAGCCTTTTCTCTTGGGCCCAGGTGGAGGGTGGTGGAAGAGAAAATGAAGGGACTCTGGGAGAAGGAAGGACAGTCTTGAGCATGAATCAAGATGTCTGTTTGGTACATTTTCCAATCCCCTGGTGGCAGAGGTAAAGTGCTCAATGCAGGGCCACAGAAGGTAGGTTGTAGTAGGTACATAGATATTATAAGGAATTGGCTCTCACAAGTTGATAAGTCCCAAGTTCTGCAGAGTAATTCATACACTCTAGGAACCAGGGAAACTGGTGGTTGTGGTTCTAGTTAAAAGGCCAACAGGATCTAGACCCAGGAAGTACAGATGCATTAGTTTTAGTCTGAAGGTAGGAATAAAATGTTCCCATTTGAAATCAGTGAGGCAGAATAAATTCTCTCTTGCTCAGTGAAGGATTAACCTTTCTGCCCTTCTCAGACCTTCAGCTGATTTTGGATGAAGTTCACCCACATTAGAGAGGACCATTCAAATGTTAATCTCTTCCATAAACTCCCTCATAGAAACACTCTGAACAGTGTCTCAAGTATCTGATCATCCTGTGGCCCGGTCAAATTCACACATAATATTAAACATCATATTTTGTGACCTTGTTAGTCTCTATTCTCTAGATACTAGTTCATTTTCCTATAGATTATAGTAATAACATCCCACAAAAATATTATGAAGAATAAATAAACACAAAAATATTTTATACGTTGGCATAGTCATGTTTCTTACTGTTATTTTGTCTGGTTTTAGAAAAGAAGTTTTTAAAAAATCAGCTATAGTAAATTCCAAGTTACACGTGTAAAGGTATGTTTAACAATTACACTTCTGGCACATGTAGCGTTCCATTACATAGCATGTATATTCTCTTGAAGACTTTTTAACTTTTAGCACTATTTCAGAAAAATTGTAAGTATCATAAGAAGAAATTAAGAATAGAACTTTTGAAATTCAGGCAAGGATTTTTAGAACATCTTTATTCAAGTTACTCTGATATATTAATTTAGAGACTTTTTTATTGTTTCTTTGTTTAAATCACTTGAAAGAGAGCACAAGTGTGCTTCAGGAAAGCAGCATCTGGCATTTGTTGGGGACAGGGATGGTTCAGAGAGCCAGGAGAATTAGGCTGTTGGAAGGGCAGGCCTCAGGTGCTGTTTACTATGTTAACAGTTAATAATTTATGTTGAGAATTTTTGCTCACACTTCTGTTTTATTCTAATTATTTATAGGTCAGGTGTCCAGGTTTGTATACCATTCTCTGCCTGCTGGTCTCTGGAGATATCTGGAAACAGCAGCTGGAGAAAGTAACTTCAGGTCATGAACTGAATTAAGTCTTCACATTTTAGAATTTGGAGGTTGGATTCTCCTTCCTGTACTGGCAATATGCGTCTCTGATTGCTGATCATTCCCAGGCAATTCTACATAATGACGATCAATAGGTTGTTAGAAGCAAAAACTAATGGCAAAGAGGAGGAATTACTTTCAATAAGTATTCTGCTTGCACTGCTTGATACAATATATTTAAATTCAGTCGTAAGTGTTGCTTAAGGGAAAATAGTCCAGAAAATGTTCAGAGTGTTTGAAAGACAGAGATTTGATTAAAATGCAGAATCATCCTCAGAGGATGTATTCAAGTTCTCCAAAGAAACAGAATGAATATAATATATTTCTGTCTATATCCATTCTTCATACTAT